CCATTTCCGGCCTATTAGCCGTCATCAGCCAGCCATGCGCAACGCCAGGTGTTACACCACCTCAGGCTCCAGCAGGGGCGCAGTAGTTAAGGTTTTAAACTTCTGACGAACAAGTCGCGGGTTCCAAAGCCTGGGGTTGTATATGGCTGACTGGTGACGGCTAATAAGCCAGAAACGGCTGTTCTAGTCCCCCTAGTCTTTTTGGTAATGTTAGTTTGCTTATATCTCTAATCATTTGCAACCTGGTCGAGATTAACCGCACAGAACTCTCGAGTAATAATTAACGGCACGAGACGAAAGGAAAACATAAGAAGATGTCAAAAGGAATGTTACGTTGGACTATTAACATAGTAAATCACCCAAATATAAGTCAACGTTGATTTCCGATCAGGGTGCTAAACAGTTGGCCTTATAAAAGTACGCAAAAAAAGACATGTTCCAACACGGTAAAGTCAGATAACTAAAATAAACAAAATCTAAAGTTGACCACCTCAATTTCCGTAATAAAAGTTCGTGCGCACGGTCCCCAACTGTAATTCAGTAAACCGCAGAGAAGAGTGGGCCCATTGACTGACATGTCTTCAAGCCCAAATTTTTCTATTACCTAAAGGTTTGATTTCATTTCTGTTCCACTCAACAGTGCCGCCCTTTTCGGCAGCCCGAGGCGATATTTCGACCTTCGTTACTGACAATGTCTGCCTTGTGCCTGTCGAAGGTGGTCGTGTGCACAAACGAAGGTTTCCCACATCAGAAGTCAGGGAAGACAGAGTAGGCCGAAACTGTTTTTACTGCGAGAAAATGAGCTTTGCAAAAGCTCTGTCAGGCTCTGGCTGCCAGCTGTGTCTTCAGGTCACTGTTGGGAAACCTTGACTGTGGGATTTGCTCAGGCGCCTTCCTTTGTTGTCTGCGGCCAATCGGAGAACTTCTGGCGAAATGTTGCACATTGGTGGCCTCTGAGCTTTTGCGAGGGTAAGAAAAAGACGGAGACCCGGCCACGAGGCAGAGAAAAGGACAGTGCAGGCGGCTCCACAGTGGTTTGACCATGAGCGTGAGGAAGATAATATCACGCGCGAGAACCCAAGGCTTGGCAGGCGAAGGCGCAAGGAGTCGTCAGTGCAACGACACTGATCACGGACTGCCACAAACATAAATGAAATAGCTGACAAGGCTAAATGAATCATCTATGATGGGTACTAAGAGCGAATGGTTATCCACACAACTTTGTCAACTAATGCATATGCAAACAAGACGAGAGACCAAATCCAATTGGTCCAAAAAGTTGGCAAGCTCTGCCGCATCAGGAGGACGCATCTACAGCCGTCTTTCGCCTTCTCACGCGACTTGGAAGTGGAGTTGCATACAGGCCGGAGGCAGCCATCAGGCGACGGGTCATGAGACCGAAAGATTTCTATGCCACGGCAGGAGACGTCTGGATTCGTTTACCGGATTCGGTGCGGTTGTGGACAAAGCAACCACCTCGGAGAAACTGGGAGATTACTCTGGACGCGAATAGCCGAGCACGCAGTAGCGATGAGGAGGAAAGACGCTCGCCCGCAGGTTGTAGC